GATCTGCCTGTTCTGCTCCCCACTCTGTCTCTGGTGAGTCCCCTCGCCGCCCCTGAGCTTCTGGCCTGTACCCCAGTTCTATGCATAAATAAATGAATCTCAAAAAAAAATGAAAGAAAATTCCAGCACCATTAACCCAGGTAGGTGGTCTGAGGCCCGAGAGTCCTGACCAGTGACCCCATCTGGAGCTCCAAGAGCAGGATGGAATCAAATGACCCTTGCTGGTACCAAGTTCAAGGTGGCCTCTGGGCCCTGTCTGCCCCGACTACTGGATTGCTACTTAAGGCAGGGAAGTTTACTCGAAATCTGGATTTGGGAGGGGGGGAGGCTGTTAAAACTGACTCTGTCATCAACCTCAGAGATGGTCTTAACTTTTGTTGAAGGTTTTTTGATTTATGCACATAAGAACTGGAGTACAGGCCAGAGGTGTGGTGGTGAGACAGTGGGGAGCAGAACAGGCGGATCCACTGAAACCCACTGCTGAGGGGAGCAGCCCGGAGACAGGAGGGGTCTGCTGCACCCTGTGCTCACTCCCTGGCTGGGGATGGAACTCGCACTGCGGCGGCTTTGAACAACTTCATGGTGCTGCGCTTTAAGTGCTGTGCCACAGGAAAGGCCCCAATCTTCTCTTTTAAAGTTTTGAATGGAGGGGCCCTCCCTAGTGATGCAATGGGTGAGGACGCAGCCCTGCAAGCTGACTGCAGCTGCTTCAGCGCGAGTTCGATCCCCGCCGCAGAGGTGACCCACAGGGCGCTGCAGACCTCTCCTGTCTCCCCGCTGCCCCCCTCAGCAGTGGACTTCGTCCATCTGCCTGTTCTGCTCCCCACTCTGTCTCTGGGGAATCCTCTCGACGTCCCTGCACCTCTGGCCTGTCCCCTAGCTCTGAATGTATAAATAAAAATATTTTTTAAAAAAGAAAAACCAGCTCCCTGGGGAGGTGGAAAGGTGGGAGGTGGGAAGCGTGGGGTAAGGGAGGTGAGTGGAAGTGAACTCTGTGGACCGTGTTCCCGCAAAACTAAGGGCAAACACCTGCGGTACACGGTTCAGTGCCAACCCAGACTGGCTCTTTCCTCTGCTCGGGCCTGCACGCTTCGACTCTGCAAAGATCATTATGAAAATACGTCCAGAGAACGTTTTCCGTCTCATTCCGGAGCAACTGCACAACACCCGCCCTCCTTAATTTCCAGCTTCCTGTTGCTTTAAGGTAGAGGGTGGGAGTCGGGGAGGGGTGCCCGCTTCCAA